GGGGAACTGGGGCGGAGTGACATCTCACATCGCAGCACGAATTCATTCAAACCTGTGGTCACGGCAGTTCTCCCTCCAGAGCCCCTCCTGCAGGTGTGCCCATGCACAAAGAGCCCCTTGTTCCTTCCCTGCAGGGTGCCCTGAGAGAAGTCAGGTCCGCCTTGTGGGGATATCAGGTTATCTCTGATGAACCCCTGCCTGGCCAAGCACCGTGCCTAGCACCTCTCCAGTTACGGGAAAGGCCCACAATGTTCCCATAAAGCGAGCCCACATACTGGGCGGAGTAAGGGGGAGAGACAAGTGTTCAAAGGAACCACAGCTAGAAACTTATCAGATCTGGTGAGAAGCTGCAATCCCCACACCCAGAGAAGCTGCAGAAAGCCCGGGGAGGCCAGCGTGGCCAGCGTGGCCCTCGTCCTGCCACGTCAGGGAGCTGTCATGCCAGGACATGCCATCTCACTAAGAGCGGCAGCACTGGTGTCTGTGTTTGGTAGCCCCTCACTACAGAGCCCTGCACCTCGAAGTCACGTGTGCCTAAGGGGTGTCACGGGAAGAGCTGCTTTCAGCCCAGAGATCCCAGGGGACTCTCAGTCTCCAAATGACACGTCTCAGGAGAAACGTAACCCCCCCCTCTGCCCTTCTAGGAGACCGCGGGTGTTTGAAGGTGCGCCTGCTCACTGACCTGGGATTCTGTGTTCAGAAGCAGCTCAGGAACGGCGTAGCTCAGACAGTGTGCAAGCACGGCCGTTCCTTTGTTCCCCCCAAATGACCACTTTGTAGGGTTCCACCTGCCACGTGCTGTCCGCGTGCCTCCTAGCCATGATACCAGTTAGCGGCACCTCGGTTGATAGGGGATCTCTGGTCCATTTGTTTTAGGAAGATTAAAATCGATTCCAGTGTACCCCTGGCTGCTCTTAGGCTCCCCACGGCCGTTGATGGTTACGGACGGTGGAGCGAGGTTTTGACTCAGTGGGGACCCAAGTGACAGTAGAACTGTACCCCCAGAGCCTCTGGGTTCAAACAGCCAACCTTTAGCCACTGGGCGCTTAACCGTGTGCCCCCAGAGTTCCTTTCCAGTGTACAGTGAGGC